CTACTCTACATCCGGCCCCTTTGATCAAGTATAAAGTGATTTGTTTAATTACGGTCATATGTCAACTTCGATGCATGTGAGTGTGTCTGTCTCTGTATATTTTTTAGAGAGACAGACACACTCACAGGCATCGAAGTTTACATATGAACTTGACTAACCAAATCACTTTATACTTGATCAAAGAGGCCAGATGTAGAGTAGATATACCACTTTTTAGGGATTAGTGAGTTTTCTTGACTCGTTAGCTTCAATTTTGTTGTGAAAATGATACCTTGCTCTGATGGTGTTCTTCATATGACACACGAAAGCTTAACACCCTTTAACCGGAATCGAACGAGACTCCAGTAGAGCCAATCGACAGCTGGTCAAGCGGAATCTGCCGTCCTCTTCTGGTGGAACAGAACTTCGAATCTCTTCACGCAACACTTCCCCTCGAAATGGAAGTAAGCTCAACAATTATGAAACACGAGATGCCTCAAAACCCATCTTTTCTGCACAAGAACCAATGTGCTCAGTAACCAAAGTCGCCGATTGACTTGATGCTGAGTGACACCATCAGGGATGAGGTGAAATTGAGTTAGCAAAAAGGGGCAGAAGTGATGTTAGGTCCATTGACGGCAACGGATGTTAGGATAATACCGGAACTTGGTCGTTGTCAAGCGATGATGCACAATGCCGAAAGTCAACTCAGGCCCGAGAAATCCGAAAGGAAGCCGTCAGTTTCTGAGACAGTTCGACACGCAGTCGGTCCGTTGAAGATGGAATTCTCTGGAGATGTGAGCAGTTGTGAAGACGGATCGTGTAGGAAAGTGCCTTTTCTGTAGTTCAAAAGCCAGTCTGAAGCGGAAGATCCCTTCAGAAGTCGGGCTCCGGATGGGGACGAAGCGAAACTGGCGATTGCTTGAGTGAATTCATCGTGAATGGGCACTTTAGTTGCGCGGAGGTGATTTTACGACCGACGCATGAATTTGCCACAAATGAAATGATTTCATATCTGTAGAAGTTTTACTTTTTTATTAAAATGTTGGCGATATAGATTCTTAGATTGACCCCAGTGGTTCGCTAGCGTTTTGTCTGATCGAGATGTGCAAATTGGCGCTGTCCTTGCGACAGCCTCCTTCGACTGGGCTGAAAATGAGGGCGACCGGCCCGAGATCGGCGCCATTTTGGAAGTAGCAGTACAGCCTTCCGAGAGAAGACCAAGGATAGGACATCTTCTTGCTCTGGCGAGATCTGCCCAATAATCCATCCCCTTGAAATAAAGGTCAAACCAAACCTTAGGTTGAGTGGTAGATTGGCGGCATTGGAAACCGATGAGGAGTGCTTTGAAGCTCGAGTGGACCGCGGTCATATGAAAAGGGTACCGAGGATTGCTTTGGATTAAATGACATTCTTAACTTTGAAACAATCTTCCATCATTTCCCGGCAAGGTCAACTTACCACTTCCATCCATTAAACTTGCAAAAACGATTGCAAATTCTCATGATAAAAAGGCATTGGAAGGCTTTTCTTCAGTTTATAAGTGGTTGAAAGTTGTTTTTTGCACATTCTTCGAAATTGTGTCAACAGAGCTTGCTATCTTTTTCAACAAAGGCGTCCTAGCCAGATAGACTTCTCTCTTTTCAGTCTCCTTTACACTCTTCCGGCACGGCATTACATTCCATATTATCTTGGTCTTTTCCGAAATTGAACGTCTCCTCCTTCATTCCACCGCCGAGAGCATAGACATTTGAAGGTATAAAGACCAGGATGGCGCGGCCTTTTGTATGGTAGCGGTCACTTTTCGTTGTATGAAAGTTGTTTGACATTTTGTCCGGCTGTAATCAGTGCATTATTTGGCAATATTACTTCCATATTTTAATCAAAGGTATGAAGACCAAGGTGTTGTGGCCTTTTGTGTGGTCAACTTACCACTTCCATCCATTAAACTTGCAAAAACGATTGCAAATTCT